CGTCGTGTAATTCTCATAGACCAACAGTACACAGTAATGTAATTTCATTTGTAACACTTGATAATAAACAGTTGAATCTTAATAACCATTAGACAAGTTGTATCACAAAATTCTACACTATTCATATAGTTATAAATAAGTCTCACTATAAATGGTACATTAATTTCATTTTGTTTTCTCCTCTAAAGATTGATTTTCTGTCCGTTCCTTCTCTGCTTTCAATATTTCTGCAGAAGCAACTAACTTTTGCACATTAGATAAGACATTCGGTAGACGTTGTTCCTTGATAGGTGGTTCATCGTTTGCAGATGGAGGAGGACTTTCGTCAGCGAAAAGTTGCGAATTATCCTTAGGTAGGTGCAAATTAGATTGATCTGATTCGTCGGTAATAATTTCATCGACTTTTATAATTGGATCAAAAGCTCGTTCGTTACTCTTATAACGGGATTTGTCTGATGACGATTCATAGAGATGCAAATTCGAATCATGCATATCGTTTGAAATTTTTATATCCTCTCCAACATCAATTTGATACTTTTCAAGAGCTTCTTTTTCTTCTTCGGTTAGTGGCTTAACCTTAAAAACAAAATGGTGGTTTTACTCATACATCTGTATCGTATATTTCCTTCTTTGATCAGGATGATAAATTTTACGTCTTAAATGAAATCAAAAATATATCTTTCAAATTGAAAATTATGAATGAAAACACTGAAAATTTAATTACATACTTTATATTCATAGAATTTATAAAAATATTTAAAAAAAAATTGTATTTTATTTTGCAATACTTTATATCCGCTAACTTGTAATTGTCAATTGCTAATTTTCGATTTAATTTTAAAAATTTCAATGAAAAAATTTACATGCCCTTTTTACAATTATTGGAAATTTACTTGAAAACGATCTAAACTGGAGAATCTGTAAATATTTAATTTACATTTTTCATAAATCTAATATTCTAGTTTCTCAAAATTGGAATTATCTTGTAGCAATTTAAAAATAAAATAATTAAAAAAATTTTCTTTTAGGATATATTATATCCTGTCTTTAATATGAAAATAATAATCCTGTATGCAGGTATGTAATATATAAATATGTAAATACACAATTCATGATGAGCAATTGACAAGAATTCATTCTTCCTTCAGTTTGTTCCTTAAGTTATTGAAGATGATTATTGAAGATATTAGTTTACTGCTATTAATATATTATGATACAACAAATGTAAAGAACAAGCGATTTAATGAGTCATCGGTTTCTCTCTTAGATTAGCCATTTATGTAGATATCAGGTGAAAATGTATGGGACATAAAAGCAATTACTGCAGAGTCTTCGACCAGATGGCAATATCTTTTCCTATCCCCGTATCGTCCATTGTCAAAGTATGCATTACAAGCATGAAGCAATGTCCATCTTTGGGTGACGAAAATTATGAAGTTAATAAACGATAACAATGGTTGGTTATTAAATTGACAATAAAAGGTGAGAAGAAGTAATTAAAATTTACAAAGCATTTATGCATTCTTAACCTTTGAATGATTCGTTAATGTCGGATATAAATATTTGTTTTCACAATGCTTATTTAACAAATGCACGGCGAAATATGAAGTAAATTAAATCCATACTTTAACCGCGGGTTTTGGTTTTATTTTCCGCGTCTGCTTTTCTCGACGCTTCTCTTTGTTCACATTTGCGTCTGATTTCGATTCCTTTGTTTCTACAGCTTCATCTATCGAACTCTTATCCTTCTCGTCGTTAGGAACGATACGATTGTTCACTTGTCTAATGTGTACTGGATATCTATTATACTTGTTCACTTCATCTTCTTCGGGATTAATTTTCGAAGAATCAGAAATATTATCTAAATCGATGTTCTGTAATAGTCATTGAAAAAAATCAATTTTGAAATTTTACAAATTTATACTCGGGTATGATCATTGTACTGTGACTATTCATTACAATATCAAATACTTGACAAAAATTTACATGTTTATAAAATCAGTTCCATAATATTGTTAAAATAAATAAATTAATTTTAATTAAAATTAAAAATCAACAGTTTTTAAGATAAATTAAAAACACTTCTGACATATTTTTATGCTATTACATTTGTTACTATCATTATTACTATTTCTAGTCATTATTATCTAGTTATTATTATTTCTAGTTATGTTATTCGTACTATACTGCTATAGCAATATCAGTATTGCGTTAAATATTATTTTAATAAATGGAAAATTATTTTATAGAATTGTATTATTTACCGTGTAAATATTTCGTTTGTAATTCTCTCAGGTCACAATTTCTCTTTGTTTATGCTAATTTATAGGTTACACGTATACACCGTGTGTTACTTATCGTTAAGTTATCGAAGTGAATTAGGTTACCTTAGATAAGCTCGATCCTTCGTGAAATGCCTCGGCTAACGCAGGATTTATTTCCTCCAATGGCTGATTACCATGCCTTATGTAAACTGGAATATAGCCAGGGATGCTAGGTAATACTTGAAGTGGAAAGGAATCTAGAAGAAATTAGGATCGAGTTAGAAATCAAAGCGAAACTGGAATAAAGCAAATGGCAGATTTTAAAGAATGATAATTTATGATCGTAATGCGATGACAGCGTGCATTAGTCTTTTATTATAGAAGATACTCGTGTCATGGTTGTATAATTTATTTCCATAATTGCAAATCGATTTATTACTACAATTTAATGAGACATTCAATAAGTATATATAAACACTTGATAAATGACATATATATGAGGAGTTATTTTTGTATACCGTATGGAATAACAAACCGGTGGACAGATTTTATGAACCAACATAAAATATATTGTACAAGACATAAACGTCAATCCATCGTTCGGTCGATTAGTTTTTAACTCTACTTTACTGAAGAAACTTTATATTCAGACAAATATTCAACACACTTTTCCCCATTATTAGCTACTTCGTCTATATATGTACACTTGCTTTCCATCGTATCGATGATTTCCATTAATCATTCGACCGCTAATCAATCACAAATACATCGAAGCCGCACAACAACAACTTAACACTTGTCCTCGTAGCAATTTAACAAGCACCATGTAGATTTGTATACACGCTCGTTCACGCGGGAATTTCAAAAATTCCTTTTACTCACGGACATAAGCGATCGAGAGAGATACTAGAAACACAAGATCGTAGACGGCCCTGGTACCACGCATCATCTCAGCAGCCTGCATCTTTGAACGGTACTAAGCCCCTGGAGTACGGGGCTCTCTCCTTTATATGTACGTTCCCCTCTTACCCTTCGGCCTGTGCTATGGCGTGGCCCCTCGGGGTTAACGTCGTTCCGTTAATATCGAAGCAAAAAGTCAAATCTTCCTTTACTTTCGGCAATCGAGACGACTCAACCATGCCTATTGGGATACTCTCATACTGCTTTCTAAGAAATCCATCGGTATAGAACCGGGCTCTGTAATTTAACCGCATTGGTTTTCATCCTGCTGCGAGGATTTTATTTCATTGAAAAAGGGACCGATAGACCCAGCTGTTTGTTTTACGAAAACACTTTGGTGTCCTTGAATATCGATGGTTTGGTCTTACTTTAAAAAGGAATCGGCCAATAATGCATTATATAATTTACATTGTCAAAAATCTACAAGTTGCTAACCTCTCATTTATCGTATATGCTTTTAGTTAACCTCAAAAAGGCGAAAAAATATTCCAGACACGTGTATGTATACAACGCGATGATTCTAATTTTTTGTAATAATTTATAAAGGTTTTCCATCGAAAGTATACGTCTTGAATATTTTTCAGGAAGGATCAACACCCGAGGTTTTAGTTAAAGGAAGGTTAAAGGAAACTTCGCATGCTCGTTCGCTCGCGAAGTGCGCCGCTGTTAAGAACAGATTCGATCTCTTCGCACAGGTAATCGTACCCCGCGAGACTGCCAGAGATCTTCGACCTTGAATCCTCTTCTTCCTGATCGTTCAAGTGAGTCCGATTCGAGGATCGATAGTGCGTAAATCTTACGAATCGAAGGCCAGGACTGATCGACGTACGATAAACATTGATAAATTGTAATTGTAAATTCATTTGCTGAAACTTGTTTATGAAATTTATACACGTTCAATGAATTTGAATCTTATTTTCAAATTCCTATAATAGTCTAAAAGCATATTCGCGGAAGTACATATAGCTTATTCGATTCGCTATTTTATAATAAAAATTGATGTTTTTACTTTTTCCCCGTTCGCATATTTAATAAGAGATGTAAATGGGAATGAGTAATACATATAGTATATTGTCAATTACTAATTTTACATTTACCTATGCTGTATTTTACCTTACAAAGGATTATAATTCATGTTGCTTTAGTGAAGTAACAAAAAGGATGTTCAAATAGAAAATGACGTCAAGCAGGGTAAATACTGAATACTTGCTTAAATACGATTCAAGGTACTTAACACTCGTACAGACATGTAGCTCCCGTTAGCTTATTGCTTTTTTGTCTCCTGATGTTGTCTCCTTCGATCAATTTTTTCCGTGTTACCACCTTATGTTTTTGTGCTATGATTTCGTCAATAGGTAGTTAATTTAACTTATCCGTTATGAGTATTACGTACAAATATTTATATATAATTATCATATTGGATCTCATTATTTCGCGGATATCATAAATTGTCTAAAATGTATTTTTAAAAATTCTATTTGTCTTTATGTCCAGTGAACATTAATTCGCATAATGAATCAGTTAATTAAAAGATGTGGAAAATTTTGATACCGGCGATGAACCCCTGATTTTGAATTACATTTATAGTCAAAGAATTAGTATCACAATAATACTAATGCAAGTCATGAAGCAAGTGCACAAATACATGCTGTGTAATTAAAAGAATCTTAGTTCTGGTATTTATGAAGCATTACAATTAGTCAATTATAAAGTATAAACAGTAATTTAGTAACATTAATCATAAATTAGTTGCAATCTTTATCTTTCTCATACATTTTTTAAGACTATTTGTATCTTTATGGGAGATGTTATATTATTCCAGACATGTTTTAAACTGGAATCCTTAACTAAAAATCTGACAATATTAATTGTAAGAAATCATACGGTTAAAACTCTGTTAACAAAGCTTAATTAAATTTTTCACAAACAGATTTTACAAGAAGATTCTTGATTTTCCTCTTGAAAAATGTTTCTTAAATAATACGTTATTCTAATATTACTATACATTTTATGTTGCTATTGTACACTGAATATTACATATTGTATACTTTATATTGTGTATTGTATGCTACTTAATATTCACACATATGATAATTTTTACATTAAACTGAATTATTTTTTTTTTGTAACGCATTAAACTATTATGCTAGTTTGCTATTCGTTACTGCAATTATGCTTCATTTCTTCCCGTAAAATTATGCACAATAGTGCTATATGATTCTAAGAATCAACTGTTTCTTTAATTTCAACGTAGTTTTATTGTAATGAATAAGCCCGGGGGCAACAGTGTATCCTGAACGAAAGGTCAGGACCACCATGCAATGTGTAGAACTCACGCGTTCGCCTTAAAGTCTTTTCACAGCACACGTGCATAGCAATAGGTATAGGTATAACTCATATATATATTTCACTTTCTAACTCATGTTACATTTATCAATTCACTTTGCAAAACATTACCGTTTTATTTATGTTCAAGGCGAGCGGAAAAATTACGATTAAACGGAAATCTTCTATTATATTAAATCTGTCCTAATACCGTTATACATAAGAAGGATAATCTTCTTCAGTATTCTAATACTGACGTGCAACTGTAAATTTTTTCATTGGACTATTAAAATTTGTTTTAATCATTATTAAAATGTGAGGTAAGAACATGTATTCGAAGTTTATACCATGATAAAGTAGCGTGATCCAGAGTTCCGAAATTTTTCTGCAATCAAAAAATTTAAGAAAATTACTCCAGGCTTAAAAAGTTGCGTCACTTTCTATTTTACAATGCTTGTATGTACCAGTCAGCGCGAGCAACGTGTATCATCATCGATCGACGTCCCCTTTTCCGCTTGTACGTGTCGAAGAAGGGCGTAAGTGATGAGCTACTAGATGCTATATTGCCGGATGTGTATGCATGCATAATCTTGCCTATTGACACAGTTAGATTTCTGGTTTAGTGGGTCGTTTGTATTAGCTTTTAATATTATTTTTGGGGAAAAAAGTATATTACCTGCGAAATCATAGGCATCTTCATAACGTAAGTTACTCACCTCGATTCAAGCCAACGTTAAGGAATATTTCTGCAGAAAACCGGTTTCATATAAATGCTACTTGTCGTTTAAACAATAATTACATATCTATTAAATGTGTTATCATTTGATGTATGACATACCTGACGCAAATTGATTACAAAATTGATATTTTTGTACGAGCATATATCACAGACATTACATCGCATACCTAATTCTTTGACCATGCTTGTTTGGGATTTCGAAAAGGATTTCTGTCTTGTTTTCTGTAGGATATAAATACGGAATAGAAAGTAAGATTCGAGTAAAGATAGATAGAAAGAGATAAGTATTCGAATGGTCTCTACGATGAGAACAACTCGTTCATTTTTCACGCGTTCTTAATTCAAGCGAGTATAATTTGATCACTGTTTACTTATTTTCGTGTCAAACGTGTATTGTGCAACATGGCGTCACTAGATCTGTTACAATTGCCAAACAGAACGATCCTACTGCGCTGACGGTTATTAAGCGAAACTTTTATCGAATACTGCATTATCGATTCTACGCCAATCTTGAATTGGAATTTTTAACGCGCGCCACCATGCGAACTGGACGCGATTTCTCAGGAGTTTCTCGCGAAAAGAAATATCCTCGTGCGAACGTGTAGGTACAGTTCTAGCGGTTAGAGTTTTCTATGTATATTCCAGCTGGATGCAACCGGTTTCGTTTACGACCCTAAAAAACTGCTGAGGATTAAATTAAAGCCTTGTCGTTCCGTAATCGCCAACAAACTTAAGTCACCCTGGTTCGAGATACATAAAAGGAAAATTGACGCTTTATAAAAATCGTTGTTACCGATCCAACAATATTTCACTTTATACAACTTGTATCTTATCTTGTGTGCAATTATAGTCGATGCTTTTTCTAAAGTAACAGCACAGAACGATACCAGTTTAGCATTTAGATTGCTGATGTCTGCGTTATGTGAAAATACTAAAAGTTCGACGACAGTTGTATAAATCGTTCGGCGTAATAGATCGTGACTGCGAGGTAACATGCGTATTGGTATTGACCGATGATAATATAATTTATGAATTATACTGTCATTTTAGACGACCACCACTAAAAACGAAACATTGGAAACTATAGTTCGTGAGTATGCATGCAAATATACATATATACATATATATGAATATGAAAATAGAATGGAAGTATCGTGCATTTTATATATTTCGGATAAATTAGTCTTGATTAAAAGTTCAAACAAAGTTATTATAAAAATATACTTATTAAGAATGTTAGAAATATAGAAACAATATCTTTTATACCTGAAATGGTAATTTATCTAGATACTAACCTACGCTACAGTATATACACCTGTAACCTATCTTTTTCATAATTCCTTAAATTCGCAACCAGTGCACCTATGTAATAGCGCCGAGTCATTAAATATTTTACATTATTTACATTATATTATTATTAAGATATTATTAAATATTATTCAAATAATTTTTATTCTAATTTTGGTATATGTTCTAGATCCTCAGAGGAACCCTTAAATCTTTTAACCTATAAAGGTATAAAAATAAGTAGTTTTATTTCTATAATAAAATCGATTATTTTCAATCATTTATTATTGACTAATTTAAATAATACGATAATGAATAGGAGTAAAATGACGAATCAAATTATATACTACGTTGTATATTACTCGAATGTCATATTAGTAATGTATTAACTAAGGATTTTAGTATTACCAGTGACAAAAAAAATCTATTTGAAGTAACGGATTATAAACTAGGTCAGCAGTATTCCTGTTTAGATCTACACACTACATGAGCCATTGACCTAACGAAAACCAATTAATCTCATAAACGATCGAATTTATCGACTCGATACTGCAATGAATAAAAGCCAGAGTGAACTCAACACGCGTGTTCCGTGCCCAGCTTATTACCTGGATAAATTATTCATGGGGGCAATCGTTGATACGTGGCAGTGAAAATGCGAGGTATAGATTTCATAGAAAACGATTAATCACGCATTTGTATAATCCAATCGAGAGAAGTCGATCTATATTTCAAATAAGTTTTTGTCTTCATTTAATAAATATACGTATGGAAAATTCGCGAGTTGTTATATTTTTGATATGCGATTTAATTAAATGATATGCAAGTATCTATATACGTAGGAGTTAAAAATTTAAATCGGAATAAAAATAAGATGTAGCAACTCAGGATCATGAATCATTTTAACTAATTTAATTTTTTCATCTTATGAATAATTTATGAAGGTTAAATTTCTTTTACTCTGAGCTTAAATAAATCGTTTTAAAGCAATTTGTTATTTTAATTATCTCAGTTTACAAATAATTTTTAATATATAATTTGCATATGTAATGAATACATTAGTATGAATATTTTTTCCTACCAAATAAGAAATGAAACAAAAGTTATTTAATTTCATAAAGATGAATATTGATTAATATAATTAACTAAATCGAAGAAAATTTATTTTCTTATTTCAATGAAATAATTAATTATTTTTAATTATTTTAAAATAATTTCGTATATTTATCTAAAAATAACTTCGAGCCAAGTAAAATGATTATTAAATAATTAGTTTTCAAACAGTTTATTTATATAATGCAAAGTATCAAACTTATCGTAAAGTATGCTTTGCAGGATTAATTATATTTATCAATAAAACTACACCACAAAGAATGAGGATTAATCATCATTATTTTTTCATCCCAATAACCATAGTCTTTGAATTTTTATTTTAACAAAATTTCAATTTGAAACTTAACTAATAAATAAACTAAATAAATTAGTTTAAATAATAACTATCAATAGATCACTAGCTTATCAATAGAATAGTCAAATTAAAATGTTGTAGTCGATAAATTTGTTCAAAAACATTGATTCTCTGTACTTTTAGCGATAATGATAGTGCAGAAAATCAATACAAGAATAATTTTGCTTAACTTAATTCTTGTTCAAATTACGTTATAGATAAGTAAATTTCGACATGAGAAGAGAAAGAAAAAAGGAAATTTCGAGTCTGTGACATGACGTACACAAAATTTTGATACAGGTAGGATGTTTTCGAAGAGATCGAAGGAGAAACCGAGGTCTGATTATTTCACTGGTCGGAGTAAGTTTTTACGATTTGCCCCTTGTTCGCCCAGTTTTTCCTCATTGCATTTCTCGTCCAGAAGACCTCGAGGGCCGTTTGCCGTCGGCGACGGTCAACGACCGGAAAATACTGGCAGATCATGAAGAAGAAGATGAAGAAGAAGATTGGCAAAGCACTACTCATGATTGAGACTTTGATGGAAGTCACTGAGTATTCAACGACCTGCAGACCCACATTTTCACTTGGTTTCCTGCTATCCGCCGTCCAATCTCCATCAATCTGTCAATTAAATGCGATACAGCCTTAACATTTTGGGAAACTCTCTCATTGTCTCATAAATTATGCCTTCTGTAACTGGGTTGTTATGTTACTTACCTGTACATGATAAAATAACTTAATATTTCATATTTTTTATTCTTCAATAATTCTGTTAATAAAAAGTGTACAGCACGAAAATTTTGGTTGGTCATCCTGATGCTAAATGCAAATATACCTGTGCTCCAGATTTAAAATATACATAACTGGGATGTAACTGAAAATATATAAGTGGAATGTTAATAGCAGAGCAAATAAAATAAAAGTAATTAATTGAAATACATATGGTACAAATTAAAGAGAAAGAAATTATTATAAACAGATTTACATATATATTACAACATTAATAATTGTAATATTGTATTATATAATATTATATATATAATAAAATTTGAGCAAAGATGCGTTTTATAAAGAATGAAAATTCTGAAGTAAACCTATATAATACAATACAAATATTTGATAGGATTTGAGATATAAATAACCACGTTTAATATTTATTAATTACTATTTCAAATATCGACATTTTATAAAATATTACATGGACCTTTATTAATTACTTAACCTACATAATTCAATATATCCTTATTATTTTCTATTCCTTTCACAATATTTTATTCATTAACCCTAATAACTATTTCATTTGTTAGGTACAACTACTCATAATTTCCATTCTATATACATGTATTCTATTATATACGATATGAATTTTTATAAATTCTTTCTTAGTTTCTCTTTTATTATAAATTATTTTTAGAATTATTTTCAGAATAATTTTATCCACTGTCACACCAATCTTGCAATTATTGGAACCATTATTAAAGTCGTTCAGCTTTTTCATATGCATCGATGAGATGAATTTAAAGCAAGCTAGTCATCCGCGAAACTGAAATAACAGTAACTCGCCTTCCTCGTGATTTTCTTTTTAAGTTCGTCGAACTCTCGCAATAGTTATTACTGTTCGAGGAGAGATATGAAAAACAGAATTTAATTACGTGTGGACAATCTGACAGCACGGAAACGGATCGAAAGATTCACAGCAGCTAGAGAACTATAACCTAGTCTCGGAGATTTGACTTCGTTTCGGCGCGGAATTCGTTCCGCACGCGCACGCGTACTCATTCCCTCCCAACGGCCACGGAAAAATAGAGAAAAGAATCGAAACTTTACCGTTATGTTCACCCAACTCGCGCCATAATTACAGCACGGACTTGCTACTTGCAAGATGTATACAGCGAACGATACAGTCGCGTGCAAACGCTGGAACATCATATTCGCTTCTTTCAATAATTACATGAAATTCAATTATGCTATCTATCAATCTTTGACGCGTGGAATTATTCGCTCGTGATTTACCTCGCGTGTGACATTAATTATTATCCTATAAATATACATGACGTGTTTAGGTCCGAGCGTAGTCGTCGATTTCGTTCCTTTGGAGATTACTATGAGTCGTAAATAGATTGACGTGTACATATGATTGCTTATCAGTTAAAATGGAATACATTAGAACTGCATTTATTGAGACGAAAGTTTAGTTCGTTCTCGATTAAACAAACCCACTTATCTGCGTGTCTGCTCTTAGTATTTGAACGGATGCAGTTCCACTCTACATACCATTAATTTAAAATGGATTTAACATTTTTTAGAAAGTCAAAATAAATACAACATAATGTATAATGTAACATGTATAATTATAACATGACAATATTATAATACATCAATTACATTATGTGCATGGATATATATTATAATGCGTTGGTATTATGATATGTCATACAGTATAATAAAATTATAATATGACAATTTTATAATATTTAATTAAAGTATATTGATGCATATATATTATAACACATAATCTATTATACATTACAATGTACTATGAGTTAGTATTATCTGTCATACAATATAGTAAAGTTGTCATATAACAATATTATTCAATATTAATTAATTAAAGTATATTGATGTATATATAAATATTAATTATATTATATTAATATTGTAATATATAATCAATTTAGAAACTTTAAATAAATACAGCATAATCTTCCTGTGTTAATGTTATGTATATATCATATAGTAACATGTATAATTATAATATGATACTATTATAATATATCAATTACATTATAATGATGGGTGTATATTATAATGTGTTAGTACTATATATGCCATACAATATAATAAAATTATAATATGACAATTTTATAATATTTAATTAAAGTATATTTATGAATATATATATAATTATATTATATTAATATTATAATATATAATCAATTTAGAAACTTAAAATAAATATAACATAATCTTCCTGTGTTAATATTGTGTATATATCATATAATGTAATATGCATAATTATAATATGACAAGATTACAATATATTAATTACATTATATGAATGGATATATATTATAATATATAACCTATTATGCATTACAGTTTAGTATGCATCATGTAATATAATGAAATTATAATATTACAATATTATAACATATCAGTGAACGTATATCAATGTACACATATTATAATATATTAATCTCATTACATATTACAAATTACACATTACAGTTTAACAAAAGAAGATACCAGTGATTATTAAACTATTGGTACTATTTTAGGAAAAAAATACTGAAATAACATGGAAATTGCTACAAAAATTCAACTGTATTTTAATAACAGGAAATTAAGTACACGGTTGTCTCTTAATAATGGGAGAGTTTTTAATTGAATTATTAAGATGGCAGCAGCTATCAAAGCGATCGGAGTACAGTTCCCTTCCAATTTCATTTATAATTAGTTCTAATGCAAGATTAAAAGGAAGATGTCGAGTAAATACACTTCGTATGCTTCAGGGAAAAATAAACGAGCAACCCGCACGTACATAAACGAAGTTTCACAGAGGAATACCTTCGTCCTAGCTTCGCTGGGATTCAATGAAGGGTCGAGATATCGAAGAAGTAATTAAACCGGTCTTCTACTTTATCACGGATCATACTAGCAATAGTACTCGGCTCACTATCTCGCTTCGAGTTACAACTGCACCGAGATAATTATAATTCGTTCTTCGATCACTGTTCCGTTAATTACCACGACTCGGTATCTACTTTATGGTCTTCGTTCGGGTCGAATGGCGAAAAATCGCCCCGATTTTTCCTCATTTCATTAAATTTTCTTCCGCGAGTGGCAACAGCCTCTCAAGGTGAACACTGGTGCGAATTCAAAATCGCGCGATACATGTAATCGATTATCTGATTATCGTAAATACAGGTACCTCGTAGATCGTGGAAATTAATAGACCGACACGCATTAAAGCCAACGTGCAATGCACACAGCATGTAAAATGATGCTCGTTAACGCGTTGCGCTTCTCCCCTTTTAACTATGGACATCAATCACGGATGAAACCCGCGATTATTTCCTGGAAATCGCTTGCGTTCGAATAGCGCGATGAGTCTTGAGCTTTTATTAACACGAAACCTGTTTACCATTTTTTTTTCATTTATTTGGTGCTTGATACATGTTACGCAAATCACCGATCAAAATGACGAACGTCATCGTAACAAATTAATGCGATTCCTCGAACACGTTTTCAAATTTCTCCCAGTCGTTGCCATCATTTTGGAGCGGCATATATGTAACATCCTCGGCACTTCGTCTTCTTATCATCCCCTGAAAACCAAGAAAATTGTTTCATACTTGGTCGTAACGAAAACGCGATTATTGAAATTTTAATTGAATAAGGAATACAACTTTTATATCTACCCATAAGCTACTGCTTTCGACTGTGCTGAGGCATATGCCTGCCCACTGCCACCACTGAAACGAAGAATAATGGTAAGATGTCATATCAGCTATTTTATACAATAATATATTTATTGCAATTTAGTCAACGTGGATGCTAATTTCATTTAAATATATTCCAGAACAGATACACCACTGACCATCGTTCTTTCTTTTTACTTGAGAAATTTAGATTGATCTTCACTTGGACTGGGTATATATAGACCTTTACGATATGTTCTGATGAGAAAATATTTTCCAGATATGATATTCGACTAAGTTCTGTTAAATTCGGTGCAATTGGGTGCAATTTTGTGCAATCGAAGAAAACTTTGTATCAAAAGAGGTATCTACTTCACAGAATTACCCAGTTTGTAATTGCAAGCAGTTCAAAGTCAATTTTCTTAATTTGAAATTAAATTTTATATTTTTTTTTCAGACTGTGATCTAGATTGGTGATAATACTTATCGAAAAACAGTTATCTACTCTAAAACACGAAAAAGGTTGTTTCTACGAATGACTCAGTATTGAAAAAAGTGAAAATTGAGATTATCTTATTAGCATAGAAAGTGAGTTCGCGAAACAAATTTATGAAAATATTTGTTACCTTCATCGATTTTTTAATCAATATTAAAAAATATT